CCAGCAGGGCTGCAGAGGGTTTATAGCCGGGCGGGAAGGGGAACTGAGAGCAGGTGCCCAAGAAGCAGGAAGTCACGTTCGCATTCCTCTGGGGTCGGCCCCACTTGCACAATTCTCCTGCTCCGGGTTCCTCTTCCTGGGGCGGGGGGAGGCTCGGCCCCGGGGCAGCGCCGAGCAGCAGGGCTGCAGAGGGTTTATAGCCGGGCGGGAAGGGGAACTGAGAGCAGGTGCCCAAGAAGCAGGAAGTCACGTTCGCATTCCTCTGGGGTCGGCCCCACTTGCACAATTCTCCTGCTCCGGGTTCCTCTTCCTGGGGCGGGGGGAGGCTCGGCCCCGGGGCAGCGCCGAGCAGCAGGGCTGCAGAGGGTTTATAGCCGGGCGGGAAGGGGAACTGAGAGCAGGTGCCCAAGAAGCAGGAAGTCACGTTCGCATTCCTCTGGGGTCGGCCCCACTTGCACAATTCTCCTGCTCCGGGTTCCTCTTCCTGGGGCGGGGGGAGGCTCGGCCCCGGGGCAGCGCCGAGCTGGCCCTGGGGCTCTCTGCTCCCTGGCCCGGGGCTGGCCCCTCCCTTCCTGCCGGTCGCCTGGCCCCGGCCCCTGCCACGACAGCCCCGCAAGCCCGGGAGGGCAGCTGGGAGGGTGTCCGTGGAGACCAGGGGAGGCAGCGCCCTGCCAGCCTCAAACGCCCCTCAGTGCCCGGGCACCCGGAACAGGCTGCTTGCTGGCTCCCGGGGCAGCCTGGTGCAGGCAGGGGCTTGGCTCCGCTTGCTTCCTTGCCCGTGTTCTGCCCCCCCTCTGCTGGTTCCCAGGGAGCAGCCGGCTCTGGGCTGGGGCCGGCTGGGGGCTGCTCACACACATTTCTCTGGGCATTTGCTCTCTCGCCTCAGCTGGAGTCTTGTGTCCAGTTCTGGGCACCACGTGCGACGCCGAGTCGGGGTTCCCCCAAATCCTGCAGCCCCGTAGCCGCAAGATCAGTCTCTGCCCGCCAGAGAACAGAGGGGTTATTGCTCCTCCAGGACACAGCCCAGCGCAGACGTGACGTGGCTACAGGAGTCTGGGCCAGGATGCCTCAGACCCCTTGAGTTAGGGGGTCCATCACCCCCCTACACCTCCAGCCCTCAGCTTAGGCTCACCCCCTCCTGTTTCCCAGCCAGCAACTGCCCCTTCTCCGGAAGCCTCTCTTCCTTTGTCCCCTGCCTGCCCTCAACCGGTCAGACAGGTTGGGTCTTTGCCTACTTGACTTAAGGCAGCCGTCCTGCCGGGCAGAGCTACAGGTACCGGCCAGTAGGGGTCACCCCAGCCCACACAGCCACCAGTGGTTGCCCGGAGGGTATGGCCTGCCCACCACATCGCACCATGGCTCAGGGAAGAGGTGGAGAAACTGGAGAGGGTCAGAGAAGAGCCACACGAATGATGAAAGGTCGAGAGAACAGGAGCTGTGAGGGAGGCTGAAAGAACCGGGCTTGGTTAGTTGGGAAAGGAGGCGGCTGAGGGGACAGGAGAGCGGTTTCCAAGTATCTAAACGGGTGTCAGAAGGAGGAGGAGGGAAAATTGGTCCCCTTGGCCTCTGGGGATAGAACAAGCAGCAATGGGCTGAAACTGCAGCAAGGGAGGTTTAGGTTGGATGTTAAGAAAAACGTCCTGCCTGTCCGGGCGGTGAAACACTGGAATAAATTGCCCAGGGAGGTCGTGGAATCCCCATCCCTGGAGATATTGGAGAGCAGGCTGGACAGACGCCTGCCGGGGATGGTCGAGACGGTGCTGGGTCCTGCCGTGGGGGCCGGGGACTGGACTCGCTGACTCTCGAGGCCCCTCCCAGTTCTAGCGTCTGTGATTCTAGGATTCTACGTCTGCATAAACCGACGTGGGCTGGAGCCCACTGCCTCAGAAAAGGGTTGAGGAAATGGGCTTGAGCTCCCCCTGGGCTGGGGGCTGGAGCCGCATGAGACCTGCCCAGCAGGCGCCCAGGGGAGTGGAATATCCGGCCTCACGTATGAAAAGTGCCATGGAAGGAAGGTGGCTTTGCTCCAAGTGCACATCCATGCCACATTCCAATGCTGACTACTGGGTGGACTAACCCCCCTAACTGTGTGTCATAGACCCCGTACCACCGCTGCCAATGGA